GAAATATAATGAGGACTTGGCTAGCTGTTCCCTCACAGAGGTCGCTTTTGAATGAATTTAACTTGATTTCCGTTAGACATCTCAACTATTAATCCAAATACTAAAGTTATCCGCAGTACTCTTCCACAAAGCACCCATGTAAGCCCAGAATGAATCCATATTTGACAAGGACTTTCTTTTAAATTTATATTCACCGGACATGACGATAGTGACACACAGTAATAAACTTCCACCAACTCCCAGTTGCTTGGTCCCTAGATGGTACAGTCGGATCTGAGTGACACGGAGGAGAAGAACCACTCGCGGTATCCTCCGTGGGATGTGACATTGCAACACCGCGGGCAAGATGGTCCATGCAATGTCAGAGAAGTGGCTAGAAGAGTGATGGAGTGTTGATAGACAATTTGGTAACTTGGGTACTGAAGATGCACCACAAGGCCAAAGTGACTAAAATGGTGAATGCTTTTGAAATGAAAGCTGCGATCGTGAATCCCTTTTAACCACAAGATGCGAACGGATGACTGGAAATGTCCTTTCTTCAATTAGTGGACTAAAACAGGCGCCTGGTTAGCTTTGGTCCCCAACAGTTGTCCTGGTTTCACTATTGATAAATAGCACGCTCATCCTTCCATACTGCAAGACTAAAAGGACTTGTTCTAAAACCCACCAGCCTTTGTTTGACCCAATGCCTACATAAGAATGAAAAGTTTTAACATTTTTAAATAGCGTAAATATTTGACGAAATAGTTTTCGTCCACTGCAGCGGTCATCATAGCTAGTATTGCCTTATAAGTGAGTTGCGGAAATTACATTTCAGTGCAATTAACTAAAAATAATTGTGAAATCTGATTACTGGAAAAGCATGACTATTCTAGGTGGAAATTGCGGTGTAGGCTCCTAGCGCATCTAAAGAACGAATTATGCTGCACAACTCCGTGGACTTCATCCAGCGTAGTGCATATATTCAAACAGTTTAGCTTAGAGTGGACAATTCTACAAGTTGGTAGACTGATTCATAGGCGATCACGGAATTGGCTTACCTAATGCAGGACGGATGAAAAAGGGACGTCTTTTTGCATTGGACGCACGGTTAGTGAAGTCCACGCCGCATAAATAGGGAATGGGAAAAATTTCATGACTTTGCACTACATGACTTTTGTACTGTGGATAAATGATTAACATTTGATTGACAAGTGTATTTAGCAATGTATTGACATCAGAACAGGACTTTACGTAAGATTGCTGCGTTTAAGATTCGTGACCAGCCACATTACATTTAAAAGTAGAATTAAACTCTATTTTTCGCATTCTTACCTAGAAATGCAACTCCTGACCCTTATTTTTAGACGTTTGCATGCAAATTAGTGCCCTCGACATGCCCATTCACAATGAATGCTTACTGCTTAATCCTCGACTGCACAAAACCTGCAGGTGCAGTTATCTAGAAAAGTGGATACGAGGGGAAGTAAATAAATCATCGTCATCTTAAAGAAGAAGCCTTGTTAAACGTGGATTTTCTAATTCTAAAAACAGGCACCTAGTATGAATGTGCATTATGGGCAAGAGGCGGGCAATCAAAGAGAACCTCTAGCGGATCAGGCGTCATCCGCCCCCACTGAAGAGGAGACCTGCCCCGAACACCCTCAACCGTGACATCCGCACACCTATATTCATTCATCGCTACCCAATAAAGTGTGTCCTCGTCAGGCTCGTTTGCTCGTTGCAAGGGTGTAAAAGGCTGAGATGGGAGAGGAAAACACCGAGCATACTACACTTGGATCTACCACTTTGTTGTAAGTCTAGTCGCTCAAGAGGGAAGTTTCATTGTTGATGCACTTCCTTTTCAGAAATGGATAGCAACCATAAATGAAAAACTTAACAAAACAAAAAAACGCTCCTCATGCAGCCAATTTAAAACAAAATGGTCAGTAGTTATTGTCGATGGGTACAGGTTACCGTTAGAGCTTCTCCAGTTTGTACTTCAATAAAGCAGTGCTAGCAAAAGCTATTCTAGAAGGAATAGCCTTGATATTAGTGAATACAGCATTGACTCAAATTTAGAGTGTGCTTATTGTTAAATGATGAACCTAAATCGCAGTGCAGGCATTGGTTAGCCGATTGTACTGCAGAGTTGACCTATGTGAGGTATCGTACGTCTTCTCAGCTTTGACGAGAACTTAGTATTGCTAGCTGGTGAATACCGAAAGAACGCAAATTGGAGAGTGCGCATATTTTTGTATGATGAACCTAAATCGTAGTGCAGACTGCGAGGATGTCGGTATATTGAGAGGAATTGAGGGAGTAGTAGCGAATGGAGATGTCAACTGTGCATTTCAACCATACTAAACAGCGAATTTCATGGCTTGTACTCCTCTTCACTTTGGATGTTTTGACATTCGAAGTGCATTCCTGTTTAAAGTTTCCTCATCTCTACAAATTCAGGTTTACGGTGGCAGTCCAGCTACATTTTAGTATGCAGGTGGTGAACTGCAATGCGTCATCTCTGAGTTGAAGATTTGGTTTTGGCTAAGTGGACACAATGGGCTTCTCCTCTGTGCTTTCATTGGGCATAATCCTCCCCTATGCTCTTCTGTAAGTTAGCGATGCATACTCTGGTCTGGTGTTATGTCTTCTTTCGTCTCAAGCGCAGTACGGGATCGTTGGATAAGTATGTGTGCACGCTTAGTGCCATGTTTGTGTGAAAAGTGTATTACGTTGTGGGCATGAATTGTAATTCCCAAAAAGGGCTAATATGGAGGCATAAAGTGCACCCAACTTCTTCGCATTTCGCCTTGTGCGACAATAAGTTAAAACCTTAGAGGTAGATTAATCACGGGTTTTGGTGTCGAATTAGTGCCCTAATATGCCTCCAAAAGGAAGACCATACTGCTCCAAAGAGCATCAAATTTTACAGGATACCAGCAACTAGCGTTTTTAAGTGGTACCCGTCGGTGGACTGCACAGGATCGGCAGTAAATGTGGAGCGACATTGACAATCACAATGACCTCACATGGGACTGACATGGTTATGGACGCAGAAGACATGAAGACAATGGAAGTTGTGTGAGTAGCCTAGGGAAGAATCGCTTAACTGACCTTGGTGACAGTTCCCATGCCGTGTTGCAGCACATGCTGCATTGCAGTCGGAGAGAGATGTCAGCTATACAAAATTTTTTATTCGGGCCTAGAGTCTCCCACTTCACGTTTCCACTAGCAACATGGTCCCTCAGCCATGTAAGTAGCCACCTAGCTCTCACTTTGTGTTAAATAAGGAGTAGATGCAATGCATCGTAGCATTGCCAACATAAGCTTCATTTTCTATCAATGCGAATATTAATTGTTAAGAA